TAGTAAAACCCTATCTCTACTAAAAATACAATAAATTAGCCAGTCCTGGTGGTGGGCACCTGTAATCCCAGCTACTCGGGAGGCTGAGGCAGGAGAATCGCTTGAACCTGGGAGGCAGAGGTTGCCGTGAGCCGAGATCCCACCATTGCGCTCCAGCCTGGGTAACAGGAGCAAAACTCTGTCTCAAAAAAATAAAAAGAATGAATGAATGAATGAATGAAGTGAACGAAGTGAACTACCCACCAGGTGATTCTCTTGCTAGATAAGAGATGCCTTGGTTTAACTTTTGGCTTCTCTAAGAACTATCTGTGGCTGTAACCTTGAATAATTATTCCCAGCTTTGGCCTGGAGCATCTTTGATGAAAAGGTAAATTGAGATTAGAGATGCATTGCATGCAAAGTGGGGATTCTGGACCTTGGCACTATTAACATTTGGGGTGGGACAGTCCTTTGTGGTTCAGGGCAGTCCTGTACACTGTAGGATGTTTAGCAGCATCCCTGGCCTCCACCCACTAGATGGCAGTAGCACATCCTCCCTCATTTGTGATAATCAAAACTGTCTCCTGTCATTGCCTTATGTCCTGTGGGGAGCAGTCACCACTCTGGAAGAACTGCCAGTATGAGGCACCCAGCACCGTGCCTGCCACCTATTAGGTTTTCTTCTGAGGACCAGTGAGGAGAAGGGGCTGCTTTTCATGGAAGTCTGAGGCCATCATGAACCTTCTGTTCAAAGCCTACTTATGCAGATTTAAAGCCTGTGTGCATATGTGTTTACAGGTTAAAGATTTGCTAATGGAAAGTAAATTCCCCAAAAGATTCTGACTCACTGTTTTTGCACCACTTTCAATATTGCCAGTCTCCAAGACTAGCTATCACCCCTCTTTGGTTTAGATAGAATACAGCCCCTTTCTCTCTCTCTCTGCTTCATTGCCTGCTTTATTTCCTGCCCAAACTATTTATGCAATAATGGCTTCTCAACTGGTGACCCCATATCTAATGACATTCTGCCACAGCTATTAGAAAACGTTTTCCACAAAGGACCAGATAATAGATGATTCAGGCTTGGTGGGCTAGGCAGTCTCTGTCACAGCTATCCAACTCTGCATTTGTAGTACAAAAGCAGCTACAGACAGTAAACAAATGAGCATGGCTGTGTTCCAATAAAACTTTATTTACAAAAACAAAATTTGGGCCAGGTTTGCCTCATGAGTCATTTGCTAGGTCCTCTCTTCATCCCCCTACCCTATCTCCTGCTGCCAGACTAGGCTTTACAGAGCCCAGAGGTCATTTTTCAAGCACATATTCACTTGGCAGACATTTATAAATATCCATTTTGCAGCTAGTATGCTGTTGGACCATGGAGATGGGACAGGGAATGTGGCAGAGTGTCCTGTTTTCAGGGAGCTCACAGACAAATAAACAGGTCATGGCAGTACTTGGAGCTGTGTGAGCTATGACTATCCAGCTGCAGTGGAGTAAAGGGGATGGGCAACTGTCTGGGTTTCAGCATCAAGGAAAGCCTGCTGGAGGAGGGACTCTTGGTGCGAACTGAAGGAAGAGTAAGGACTAGCTGGGCAAGTGGGAGGTGAGGCTTTCCAAGCTGAGGGGCAGTGAATGTGAAGACTTGATGGAGTTGAGAGGATGGAGCTCTTCTCCCTTAACTTACCATAAGCTTCTGGAGGGCATGACCCTTCTCTGTTCGATACAGAGATAGCTCCAAGTGTACCAGGAGCCTTGGCTTTTTTGCAGGAACTAGTAGGAATGGGCCACTTTTCCTGAGGTTGCTTTGCACTGATGAAAAGCCCCCAGGGTTATATATGTTCCTGGTGAAAGTATCTTCTGCTGGAGGTGGAGGAGGGAAGCCTTTGTCTTCATATGATCATTGTCCACACCACTGCTTTGGAAGAGTTTACACAAGTCTATCTTTCAATTCAGAGATGGGCCAGGTAGAAGGTTGGGGAGACAGAAACAGACCTTTGAGCAGAAGCTGCCTCTGGCACAATGTCTCATCAGATGGTTCCCAAGATCCCAACATTTCTGGGGCTTTTCATCACCCATAGAGAAGTGGCATCGCTATGAAATTTCTGTACAGAAGGATATGTTCCCTGAACAGCCAAGAAAAAGAAAAGACACTAGTTTAGTTATAAAACAGCAGAAGATTTTTTTTTAATTAGTCAAGACCCTTTTGGTTGTAAGTAACAGAAAAAGTAGCTTAAAAAATGAGATAAAGGGTATAAAGTGTCAGTTTTGCAAGACAGATACATTCTGGAGATTTAAGTACAGCATGGGAACAAGAGTTAAAAATACTGTATTATATACTGGAAATGTGCTAAGCGGATAGATCTTAAATTAAATCTCACCACACACACAAATGGAAATCATGTAGAAGTGATGGATATGCTAATTACCTGGAATGTGGTCACTTCACAATGTATACATATGTCAAAACATCGTTATACACCTTACATAAATAATTTTTATGTTAATGATATCTAAGTAAAGCTGTTAAAATATAGGACGTTTACTGACTTGTGTAACTAAAACAAACAGGGGTGGTGCTAACTGTGGGTAAAGCTGGATTCAAGACTCAAATGATGTCACTGGGACTCAGTAGAAACCTCTCTATTCCCCAGTTTCTTCTCTTCATTTTCCTCCAGTTTGGCCTCACCTGTAGGTAGGTCCCCTTCAATTGGCAGTTCTGTTGTTGTTGTTGTTGTTGTTGTTGTTGTTGTTGTTGTTGTTACAGAATCTTGCTCTGTGGCCCAGGCTGGAGTGCAGTGGTGCGCTCTCAGCTCACTGTAACTTCCACCTCCAACATTCAAGTGATTCTCCTGCCTCAGCCTCCTGAGTAGCTAAGATTACAGGCATGTGCCACCACGCCCGGCTAATTTTTGCATTTTTAATAGAGATGGGGTTTCACCATGTTGCCCAATCTGGTCTCGAACTCCTGATCTCAAGTATTCCACCTGCTTTGGCCTCCCAAAGTGCTGGAATTACAGGCGTGAGGCAACATGCCCAGCCTAAGTGTCAGCGCTTGGCAGCTCCAGGTGTATGTTGTTTTTACAGCTGCCAGAGTGGAAAGAGAACTTCTTCCCCAAAACTACAGCAAAACCCCGGGGTGACTGGGACTCAGTGGTGTGGCTAGGCCTTAACGCACTAATGGACTCACTCGATAGATATGCATGAACCCAAATCCATGGGACTGTTTCAGTGGGACCTTCTGATGGGCCAGGCTGGTGTCCTATGGCTCATCTCGCAGTGACCAGGAGCTGGGTTCAACTCTATGTGCACCATACAGGCTGAGAGTGGGATTGTCCCCCAGAAGGAAACTGGGGTCTTGTTGAAGAAACAGGAGTGATGACAGACCAGCAGTATCAGTGCATGTCTTCTGTGGCTTCCCAAGATGGGCAGGGTTAATTGCTTATAGATAGCAGCAACTCACCCTCAGCATAGGCACACCCTCCATGGCCCCAGTGCTATGGGAAAATGTTAGAAAGAGAAAGAAACGCTTGTGTCCTTTTGTTTCCAATGGCACAGACATTTGGAGAAATTTGTCTGGAGGAGGGAAGAGCCTGATGGGAATGTTTTTACTTGTAAAATGTTTAAACTTATCCTAAGCTTAGTTCTCTTCCAAGTGTCATATTTAACATTCTAATTAAGGTCCCTTCTAAACAAATGCACCAGTTCTGTGTGCTGCTCTGAGAACAAACTTATTTTTTTCTTCCCTTCTTTCTGTCATCATGTTTTTGCTGCACTCAAATTGCTTTAGAGAAAGAGGATTTCGGATGTTGGTGGCGAGTACCAAAGAGATAAGGAGCAATTCTGATATTTTTGCCCTGGTATCATTGTACGAGGGCTAAAGTCACATCTAATTTACCACAGACAATGGGAGAGGCAGCTATTTCGTGTGCTTAATTGCTAAGTTTTTTTCCTCTCTCTGTCTTTCTGACTGTTTGATCCCATCTACTGAGACCATGGAAAATTTGGACCTTTGGGTTACCATTTCTTATGCCATGTGTGTGTGTGTGCGCGTGCGCGTGCATGTGTGTGTGTGTCGTGGTAGGATTGTGGAGGAGGAGGTAGAGAGAGAGATGTTTCCTGAAATGGAAGCATTTGAATTCAGGTTTTTGTTGTGTGTGTTTTTAAAATTCTTCTGAGTTGGCTGTAATTGTCACACTGCATGTTTTGCCTAGATCTGAAGAATGAATTGTTATATAATACTCCGTGCTCATAAAAAAGCAAGGCAGGGAGGGAGAGGCATGGACTAAAGAGACTAAGAGTTAAATCCAATATTTTTCAGAAATGCTTAAAATGGGGATGTCAGAGAGAACAATCGTTGTCCAAATTAGGCCCTGAATTTTTATCAGCTGCTTTATTTTGGCACTGGGGAGATCTCACACACACACACACATACACACACACAACATAACACACAACCACACAGACACTAGGACCATTAAAAGGATACTCCATCTTCCCATTATGTGAGCCAAGTCACATAAAACTTTGATTAAATTCAAATGCTTACATAAATTGTGTCTCCTCTCAAGAACACACACGTTCAATTTAATCTCTCTTGGCACTTTAAGTATCAAATCAAGGTTCTGCTGTCACTGCGGACAACTAAATGCTCACAGCTTCCAAAATGGGAATGAAATGAAAAGGATCTGCCAGAAAAAAAAAAAAAAAAAATTCCCATCTAGTAAGCCACAGACCCTCCTCGTCGTCTTTGAATATTAGGCTGGGTGGCTTGGGAAAAGTGACTTTATTTTTTCCAAGCCTCGGTTTCTGCATCTGTAAAATGGGGAGAAGTGATGGTTACTGTTTCCTTATGGGGTCTGGTGAAGATGAACATAGATTGGTCCATCTCGGGCTGGTGGCACCATGGTGACCCCTAGGAAGTACGCAGTGCACGATCGTCCTGGGATCTGGGAGGAAGGTTTCTGAAGCGTGGCTTCTCATGATGTTCTCTCCCTCTCTCCACCTTTTTGATTTTTCAGGGTAATCAGGAAGCAGCCGCTGCCCCTGACACAATGGCTCAGCCTTACGCTTCGGCCCAGTTTGCTCCCCCGCAAAACGGTATCCCCGCGGAATACACGGCCCCTCATCCCCACCCCGCGCCAGAGTACACAGGCCAGACCACGGTTCCCGAGCACACGTTAAACCTGTACCCTCCCGCCCAGACGCACTCCGAGCAGAGCCCGGCGGACACGAACGCTCAGACCGTCTCCGGCACCGCCACAGTAAGTGGATGTGTTGGCTGCGGGTGGGAGGTTATGCAAACCTGCGCTGGGGCACGTACCCCAGCCCTGGGAATGGTAGCAGGGGCGCATCCCCATCCACCCAGGGACTCCGGCAAACAGATCAGTCCCTAAGCCCATGCTCATCATACCAGCTTCCTGAATGAAGTTTACCTCATCTCCATGCATTCATTCTTAGCGTTCATTTAAATCAAAGTATTTTTTCATTAACTTCATTTATTTGTAAAGGGGCACATTTATCAATTTTCTATTCCTGTAGTTTTGCCTTTCTAGAATGCGATCCCAATGAAGTATCTTTTTTTTTGGAAAAAAAAAATTTGATGTAAGATAATATTTTTTAAGTCTTTATGGAGGCTGGGTATGGTGGCTCATGCCTGTAATCCCAGCACTTTGGGAGGCTGAGGTGGGAGGATCATTTGAAGCCAAGAGTTCGAGAATAGCCTGGGCGACAAAGTGAGACCTCATCTCTACAAGAAATTTAAAATTCAGCTGAGTGTAATGGTGCCTGTCTGTAGTCCCAGCTACTTGGAAGGCAGAGGTGGGAGGATGGCTTGAGGCCAGGAGTTTGAGGCTGCAGTGAGCTAAGATTGCTCCACTGAACTCCAGCCTAGGTGACAGAGTGAAACTCTGTCTCTAAATAAACAAAAATAAAATATTTGTGGAGTTATAATTTACATACCATAAAATTAGTATATTTTTAGTTGTACAATTCACTGATTTTTAGCATATTTACAGAGTCGTGTGATGATTGCCATCATCTAATTTCAGAACATTTCCATCAGCCTAAATACAAATCTTGTGCCCCTTTGCAGCTACTCCTCATTCATACCTCAAAGCTCTGAACCTGGCTTCTTTACCTTAGCCTCATGCATTTGAGACTCATCCAGATTGCAGTGTTTGTCCCTAGTTTCTTCATTTTTATTGCTGGACCAAAGAGCAGGGGCTAGAAAGGGGCAGGGTGAGAGAATTTGGATGAATAAGGGAACTGTCCTGTATCTTAATGGTGATGGTTATGTGACTTTATACACCATATAGAGTAAATTTTATTGCATACAAATGATTAAATGGATTAGAAACAGGCATATAAACAACACAGACATTTTATCATCACTGTAAATGAAAACTGGTGTTTTGACCATTAATCAAATATAACTCTAAGCAAAAATAATTACAGTAAAATTAAATAATGTTCATTTGTGTGCCACATAAAGTAATCATGCATACCACAAAACCTATATGGAACATGCATTTGGGAACCTTTTTCTGCAGAATTCTTTAGAAGCTTGGGCACCCCAAACCTCTTGTCTGGAACATTTTTTAAGTACAAGGCAAGTCTGCCTCTTCCTCCTGTCCCAAGACCTCTGGAAAGGCAGTATTTGTGAAGAAGTTTATGGGTTTGAAGCATGATACATTTCCTATGATAAAAGCAACCACTGACTAACTTGGCTACTTGCCACCTCATTCATTTGGAGGCTAGTTTTGAAGATTTTTTTTAAAAAATAGTATACATTCTGAAATTTTTAGTTGTCTTCCTCTCTTTTAAATTTATTGTGGTAAAATACATACAACAAAAAGCTTACCCATTTTAACCATTTTATTCATGTACAGATTTCAATGGTATTCAGTATATTCACTAGGTAGTGCAAAACCACCACCATTATCTGGTTTGAGAATGTTCCTACCACCCCAAAAGGAAACCCCCTACCCATTAAGCAGACTCTCCCCATTCTCCCTCTCCCCAGTCCCTGGCAACCACCAATCTGCCTTAGAGATAGTTTTTTGTGTCTGGCTTCTTTCTCTTAGCACAATGTTGTCTAGGTTCATTCATGTTGGGTTTCCCACTGTATGGATAGACCATGTTTATTTATTCATTAGTCCATTGATGGATATTTGGGTTGTCTCCACATTCTGGTTCTTCTGAACACTCCTGCTACTGATTTTTTTGTATTTAGTTGCTGTACCTTAGGCCTGGTCTGTTAAATGAGTTTGCTGGATCAGCAGGTGTTTGTTGCTTTTGCGTTGACTACCAGGCAGTAGTGATGGGGTTGTTGTTTACTGTGTGTTGGCCATTTTGTGATAATCAATAGTAGTAATGCCTGGATAGGTTATTTTCAGATTTTGAAAAAAGGTGCAATCAGACATTATTTATTAAACTAACTGCTGTGGAAATTTTATGTATTCATTTATTTACTCACAAATATTTATTAAGCTTCTACTAGGGCTGGGACTCATACTAGCTGGCATGGTTGAATCAAACAAAATGATCTTTCCCTCTTGTAACAGTATGAGAGGCAGAAACTGAGCATGTGGCAAATAGCATGTGCGATAGATGTCTTAAGGAAAATATGGGTACCATAGGGAAATTAAAAAAGAACAGAGGTGCTACCTGCAGACGTATAGTCTGCGAGCATTTCTTAAGGAGATGGTCCTTAAGGTGATAAGACAAAGCATCCAAGGCAGAGGGAATACCACAGTCAAAGGTTGTAAAGGTAGAAAGATCTGGGCTCATTCAAAGTCCTAAGAAGAGGCCAGTATGTTTCCGGCATGGTGAAGGGGATTTGAAGGTGATGTGGCAAAAGATGAACTGGGAGGAATGAGCAGGGATTCAACATCCTACGGGCCTGGTGGGTCTGATAAGGGGTTGAAATTCCATGTTACAAGCAATGCTTTTTAAAAGCTTTAAGAAGAGTTGAAGTCAGAGGAGTTATGAAATGAGACATAAAAAGAAAGGGTTAGTGATGCCTAGCTTAAAGGAAATTTAATCTAGTTGGGGAGTTGAGATGCTCCACATCTTTACCCTGCAAAAAGAACACTTTAGAGATCAACACAATTGAATTTAAATAGCGTGTTGGGTGACCACAGTGCCCCAGGCACTGCAGTGAGATAATCTGATGTGCAGACAAGCTCTCTTTCCTTGGAGAGCCTTTGGAGGATATAGGATATGTTTTCTGTTAATTATGATAATGTGCCAAATTCTAGCATACAGGTATTCACAGCTTTTATCTATCGTGATGATAGTAGGAGAAAACATTTTCAAAATCATAGTCAGAAGGTTATACCTTTCAGAGTCTTCTGGTAACAGGAAAGAGGAAACTTAGTAGGAAGTGTGTTGGCCCGTACGATAAAAAGTCCAGGTGGAGGATAGACACAGCCTGGTTGTTGGAACATGTCCATCAGCTTCTAATGGGAAACCATCCTGGGTTGGCTTCCTCGTCCTCACCTCCACTCTCTGGCTTTGTCCTGCAAGTTCAGGCTCCAGTCACCACCTGTGAAAAGCTCTTGGATTTATCCTGTATAAGCCCTCTCATGGGAATCAGTCTCCATTCCTGGCTTGCGTGGCGTTATCTTCATTCAGTGGCTGAGGCTGGTACTGAGTGTCCCAGCCCTGGGGTCACTGAGGAGCTTCATATCCAAATACATGGAATGAAGACCATTTCATCAGAGTTCATGATAAGATACCTTCAGAACAAATCATTAAAGAAACTAAGTAGACAGAACATGTTCAGAGCTAAAGGTAGCATGGTGAGCCGTTTGTATAAAAAAAAAGCTTGAATTGGTGTTCATCAAGAGTAGGGAGTGAAGAGAAAGACAAGGACAGAACATTGGAGAGCTCACGGGGTAGGGTTTGAAGAAGAGGAACTATTGAATAAGACCTCAGTAGGATGTTCAGATTGGACATTCAACCAGTTGAATGTTGGGCTATAGAGCCTGGAGGGAATAAACTGAGAAGACATTATTGAAGTGACAGTTTGGACATCTTCAAAGATCTAGAAGAAAGCAGTTCTGCTAGAGTAGTGGAGGGAGATGCAAAAGGGACAAGAGTTGAGGAATAAATGGGATATGTTGGAGTGGGCGGGCATTGCCCATTATAAATATTTGGAGTGATAAGGAAAAAAAAGAGATTGCAGCTGAGAAGCAAAGAGGTCAGAGAAATCAGTTGGTAGGATAGTTGATTTAGATTCACTAGTTTATGCCAACAAGGTCCACTGGGGTGCAAAAGACAGGAAGCAAGAGAAAGGGAATAATGGTGCAGGAAAGAAAGGGATGAAGTGTTTTATAGGAGATAAGAAGGAATAGGACCAAGAGTATTCAGATACAGTAGGTAGTCTAGGAAGGAAGAAACCATTTTTTAACAGCTTTGTTGACATACAATAAACTGTGTATATTTAAAGTATACACTTTGATACGTTTTTACAAATGTACCTACATGCACAACCATTACTGCTATCCAGATAATGAATACGTCCATTATCCCAAAGTCTTTTCTTGCTCTTTTATGATCCTCCCCTCCTCCTCTTTGCCTCATTCCCAGGAACCAATGAGTCTGCTTCTTTTCCTATAGCTTAATTTGCAGTTTCTAGAATTTTATATCAGTAACATCAACATTATGCGCTCTCTTTGGCTTCTTTTACTCAGTATCATTTATTTTAGATTCATCCATATTGTTGCATGTGGCTGTAGCTCCTTCCTTTTCATTGCTGAGTACTATTTCATTGCGTGGATATGTCACAGTTTATTTCTCTATTTACCTATACATGGGCATTTGGGTTGTTTTCAGTTTTGGGTAACTCAGAAATAATTCTGCTGACATTTGGAACTACTTCAATTTTGAAACAGAAGAGAAGGAAGGGGGAATGTAGGAGGATGCAGAGAAATTTTCAAGTCAAGAGATAATGTGAGGAGTTCCATCCACATTGCCTTCATTTTTTCTATGAATGGAGGCAGCATCATCAAAGGAAGGATTCCTGAACTTGGGCAAACATGTCAGAAATCTGTCTTAGATAATTCCTAGAGTATTTGAATGGCAATGGGTGCTCAAGTTTGGAGAATGTGAATGTATGGTGGACTGGCTAACTGTCTAGTTTGTCTCCTCCAGCAGTGTTTGGATGGTACACAATCTCAGGGGTAGGATTTTAAAGGAAAGACAGCCATTAGAGGCTGAAGCAGGTGGGCTTTGTGGCTGATCCTGAAGGACGTTTTAG